GGACAGAAATTCTGTAGTATGTCAGTCTCAATCCAGGAGCAGAGAAGATGAAAAATGAAACCCCACCCCATTTTATACGCAAGGAGCAGTAATACAAAAAAATAAACAACCAAACAAAGAAATTAGTAAATAAAGGTTGTACAAGGGAGTTCTCTTAGTACTTTTTTGATAATGGCCAAGGTGCCATTAATGAGTCTTGATGTAGTTCCAAAGGCTAAATTGCTAATATCATTTCCTCAGGCACTAGGACATCAATGGTGTAGCTTTTATGTTGTGCCATGAGACAGTTTTTTAAGAGTACCAAGCAATTTACATTGACCCCATTAATCACGAGTAAAAGTTTTCCCAACTTTTTTTGTGGAAATACTACGTACACACTTAAATTCTTTTCATCATTTAAAATGATACAATTTTTAAAGAATAACTGAAAATGGATGAATATATGCTTCAATAATCATCATGAATGATAATTCTCTTTTGTTAACTTTCTTAAGAAATATAAAGTAAAATCAGTAAATATTTGGTATCAGAGAAAATTGAAAATCTTGCCATCATTCTAATGAACATAAAATTCTAACAAAACTTACCTATTTTTTGCTTAATTTAAAGTATAATACCATGATTTTCATTACTCAACACACTCTATAAATATATTTTATTGAAAAAATAGGTGACCAATCTGTGTCTAAATTCATTCCCTACTCTTTGCCTTAAGGTGATCTTACTAAAATGAGAGTTAAAAAGTGTTCCAGTGTTGTTTTCCCTAGGTAGTACAAAGAGTTTCATATGTATTATTAAGTCATTCTTCAAAACTACCCTATATGATGTTGTTATTTCATTTGTCTCAATATTAGATTACTTAAAGGCATATCTTTAGTAATGCATATATCTGGGACTACACAGAGTTTGACTAAAATCCCTAAGCTTGTCTCTAATTTTACACCACAATGACGTGAAAGTATAAAATCATTTTTATTGCTCTTTGATGGGTTTTGAAGCATTGATGTCTATTAGCTTATGATGAAGATAGTTCTTTATTAAAATATCCTAAGTCCAAAATAGAGCTAATTTACTAAACACCATAGCTTAGCAAAATAATGCATTGGTTGGCTATATTCACCAGCACTTAGTGAACATTATTGTTGCATTTAAAATGAGGTAAAAATTGTGTCTTTTAGTAGTTCTCTTTTTCTCCTTCTCCTTTTTCTTCTCATTTTCTTTATTCTCCTCCTCCTCTTCCTTTTGCTTTTGTTCTTCTCGCTTTCCTTCTTTTTTCTCCTCTTTCTTTGTGGAAGTCTTCCTCCTCTTCCTCTTCTATTTCCTTCCTTTTCTCTCAAGTAAAGTGAAGGTATTTTCTATCTAATGAAAGTACTTCTTCTGTGAATATTTTCTTCCAGAGTTTTCACATATCTACTGGCATTGTATAGTTTCCTAATCCATTTATCTGACCAATTAAAGGAATTTAAGACAGCATTCAATTATGCCCAATCTTGTCTAGTTTAGCCTCTGGATCATCTCTTCCCTAGAGATGTAATTACCTTGCTTCCCCAGGAGAGAGGTTATCTTACTTACATCCATATACTGCATACATATTCAAGTCTCTCTGTGAGACTTGAATGAAGTTTTATTTGGAACTTCTTTGTATCTGGCAAGCTTCTGCTATCATGATTTCATCTTTTGAAAGCCAAATCAAAATATCTTGCTATAACAAAAACAAATTTTAATTTTTTAAAAAAAATTAGAATCCCTCCAAGGCTAAACTCTTTTAAATTTGGATAATAATGATCTCCATGCATGTAGTTACTTTTGTTTTTTTTCTGTCAGTCATCGGTCCCAAACTCTGGGCCTGGGCACTGTCCCTCAGCTCTTCAGCTGAAGGCTAGCACTCTACCACTTGAGCCACAGCGCTACTTCCAACACTTCCAACTTTTTCTGTTTATGTGGTGCTGAGGAATTGAACCAGGGCCTCATACATGCAAGGCAAGCATTCTACCACTGAGCCACCTTCCCAGCCTTGCAGTTACTTCCATAATTGTAGATGTTAAAAGATGATGGGAATGCAGAAGTACCTGTGCTGAACCACAGAAAACAGCTGCATTTTCTAGTCTGTATTTTGGTTTCTGTTTCTACATTATTTCTAATACTTGTAACCATTTTCAACCTGTGCTTACCTGAGTATGTTTTATGTAAAAACTATGGCTTTTTAATACATCTAGTGCTATGGTGGTACTATGACAGCTTCTATAGAATTTACTGCACAAGATTTATTTGGGAGGATTATTATTCTACTTCATATATTCAAAGAAGATTGTCTATTTTAATTCCTTAAATAAAATATTAAATCAAAATATGCTTTTATACCTAAGTCCTTAGAAAATCTTCTTTATGTAAATGATTTTTAAAATTATATTGGCCATTGCATAGTTATGTAAATTAGTCTGCATGTAATTAGTTGTTTAATTGTAATATATTGGAATATTTAGTGCGTTAATATCATGATCATGATCATGGATCATGAAAAATCAATGCTTTTTATATGAGGAATATCTATTCTATCACATTGATTATATTATTAGCATTTATACTTTTCTCTCTACTTTTCTCCAAAATATATGATGTGCTAGACATTGATAAAGTGAAATACACATCTTCTGTATTTTCACAAAAACCTAAGAAAGCACGATCTATTATTATCACTATGCTATAACTGACAACTTAAGCTCAAAAGAAGCTGTTTATCTAAGGTGATTTATTCAGGCCACATTAAAACAAGGCCAAAAAGTAACTGTACAAAGTATAAAATAGTGACTCAGAAAAAAAAAATAGAAGTATAAGTATTTGATTTTACATGGTATCAAGTTTTTAATTTAAATATGATTGAAAAAAGGGTGGAATTCCAAATAATAGTAATTTAGATCCTTCAGACTTAAAATTTGTAGATTGGGTATAATACTGAAATGCGTATGTATGTATATGTACTTGTGTGTACTAATTCAAAACACACAGTGCTTACAATATAAGAGAAATAAGTTGAATGTTCTTGCTGATTTAGAAATCATTAATTCCTTTTTTGAGTAATAGAAGACTGAACAAGTAATACACAATTCCTACTCAGTAGATAATTGCAAACCTCAGTAAAGTTTTGGCTCCTGTCAGCACAATTCTCAGTTATGAACTATATACTTTTTCACAGAGGGGCAATTGTCTTCTATATGGAGATGGAAACATCTTGTCAAGCATGAATAATAATTTATATATTTGTGACTCAGACATACAATTAACACTGATACACAAAATTTCTGTATTGGTAAATATCAGTAAGTTGAGTTAATTGTACTACTAACAATAATTAGATTAAAATAGTGACATTCCTAATATTTTAATTATAAGGGTAAAAATATTAAGGAATCCTTTGCATTTCAGGAACTAACATTCTTAAGGGGGAAGTATGAAAGATTTAAAGGGCCAAATAAAACATGTCATAAATTCATAGACCATTGTGCCTTTTTTACAACAGAACTCTACCTTAACTGTTTTAAAGAAGTCATAATTAATTCATAGTGAGTATAACTATGTCACTAAAACTGGGATTATACCATGGCTTAATTTTCTGCCTCTAATCTGAGTCATAAGGTAAAGCACAAACTTATAGGAAAGAAGACCTAAGAAAAATGTTAGTAATTATTTAAGGTGTCCATGTAATAAATGTAAATAGAAATATGTTAAGTTCTGCCAAAGCATTTTGTAGATGTTTTGCTTATACTTAGAATATTTTATTATTTGATCTAATATAATTATGGCATGAAAATACAATGGAAATAATTGGCATGTTCTTTAAAACACTATCACAAATAGTCAAGTTAAACAAATCAATGCCATAGATTTTTGTTTTGCCTCTTAAATTATATTTTAGCGACAATCAAATCCTCATAAAATTAGTATTTAAAACATCATCAGTGCTACAAAAAATTTTAAAAGACATGGATCAATATCTAGTTTTCCTTTGAAAAATATCCATTAGAATTTGATTTCTAAATACTTGTCTGTCTTCATTAACATTTAAATATTTACTGGATATTTATATTTTATTTTCTTCTCCTAATTTGATCAAAATTCAGCCGATATATATCATATAAAGTTAAACAAGACAGAGTTTAATCAAATGCCTGACCTACTGGTACATTATGACTCTTTTGATATCACTATAAATGTTATTCATAAAAAATGAAAGTGAATGCATTGAAGCACTAAATAATTTCTTTAACATATTCCACCATAGATTCATGTGGTTTTGATCAATGAAGTGCACTTTATTAAACAATTTATCTTGCATCTTCTAAAGATTTTTTTGCCATAAGTATGCGGAAATTAAGAAGAAACTTCAATGTTGCCATACTGTGAACGTATTTGCACTATATTTATCTACATTTTGCTCTTCTATACAACCATAGATCTAAAAAACATATTTGGGGTTTCATTTTTAAAATCTGAATATTTGAATTGCTGACCTTTCAAAAGTGATTGTACGTTACATAGGCATAAAATTTTACTGACACAACAAATCAATGAGTCAAATGAATTAGAAGTGTTTTCTAATTCTAAACTTCCAGGCTACACATAGATATGTCTCTAAATGGCTATTTAGAAAGTCTTCCAAATTTAAGATCTGAGGATTTGTGACAGAAACATCTAAATGGGCTTATACATTAATATATATTTATTGCAAACAATTATGATATATTGGGTTACAATATTTTCTCCTGGTTGCTCATTTTAAGTAAAATAAAAGTAACTATTTAGTAGTGTAGTTCTGTATTTCTTAATCCAGAAAATACTACTTAAGTGAAAGGCAGTGTGGAAAAAAAATGATTGCATGCTTATAAGAATCTTTGCTTTAGGAAAGCAATGCTGACATCCGAGTAAATCCACAGTGTGGTTATGGTATACTTGAGGGGAGTGGGATCTCTTCCTTATCTTGGGCTCTCTTGTTTGCTTTTCAGTTGCTGCGAATGTGGCTGTGGGAGGGCTTCTTCCCTGTGCGCTGTTGCCCATCCAAGCCTAATATGGTTAGTGTTCCCTCCAGCTTTCACTCCTATGTAATGTCCACCTCTGTGTAACACCATCAGCATCTCTTTTCTTTCTTCATATGTGTACATTTTACAATGAGTGCACCAGTTACGTCTTAACAGTGAGAAAGTCGGTGAAACTCTTCCCCAAAGCTGAATTTTAATGAATGATTTCACAATGGATTATTTTAAATTATATCCTTATTCCCAATGTCAATCATTCGTAGTTCTCTTCTAAGGCTTTTACTGCGGCTCTGATTTGAACTAGGAATTCTACATTAGAGCATCTGTTCTACATTAATACATCACTGTTTTTGTTGTTGTCCATTCTATAAAACCCATACACCTGGAAGTAGAACACTACTTCCGTCAAGGTGAAAACACCTTTTCCATCTACCAGAACCACCAAACGACCATGATGTCCTGAGATCTTCTATATTCAGTCATTGTGGGTAGCCATGACATTGGTTTATAAAACCGCTTGTGATTTTTTGATGGTTTACTTAATTTTGATAAATTTCAGTTATTTTAGGTATTTTAAATGATATTCCCATTGTGATACCACTAAAATAAAAGAAAATATATGTCCATTTCTGGGATCAGGGTCCAAATGGAATAATCTTAATTATTTATCAATATAAATTCTAAATATAAGTTAAAGGTTTGGGACTAGAATAATATGGGATGATATCCTAGAAATTTCTAATCATAGTATTAGAAGGACTTCTGTATAAGAGTACTACAAAGAGTGAAATTCTATAGGAATTACCTTGTAGATTAGGGTGTAAGTCTTTGGGTTAATTATGAAGTTTTCACTTGTATTCCAATTTCGAAAGATGCTATAAGGCATTTGAGAGGATTATAGATTTTCATAGTAGCATAGTAAGTTGTTACTAGTATGCTCTAGACATGAATTATTTTTGTAAATATAAAATGTGTATATGTGAATGAAGAAAAGTGCCCATAAGTGGACATGTAAGAAAACACCAATGATTCTGAAAACAAGGAGAAGAAATAGACTGATGGAATTTAATTTCTTTTCTCAATCTCTTGAATTTTTATTAGAAAATGCTTTAAATTTAATGTACAAGTTCAGATTTTTTCTAATTAATTTAACTTGATTTAATTTCAGCTACATGGTACAATATGCTGAACATGGGGTTTCAGTAACAAATATGAAAACTGAAATCTAAGAAAGTCTAACATACACATTAATTATTTTAAATGGTGAGGTTTTCCTATAGTATACAGCACTAAAGTTGGCCATCTACTTCAGTCTCAAATTTAGGTCTTATAAGAGACAAATTATCTCTGAAGAAGAATGGACAGAAGTTAAATATTAAAAGAAATGATTAATAACTTTGCCTACCTTAAAGTAAATCTCAAAATTATTTATACAAGAGTTGAGCATGTATGAACTTGTATCAGAACCTGTGAGCAAAGATGAAATTTAACTAGCATGACATACTCATTAAAAAACAATATTATTTTTCTTTTGTATAATTAGAAAAAAGGAAAGTGGGATATAATTTTCTTAATTAGAAATACATCACGCACAAATATTAAAAATTCCTAATGTCGTTCTTCAAATAATGTTAAGAATTCAAAAGAAAATGAATGTATGTTTTTGTGTGTATGTGTGTTTTGTGTGTGCAGAAAATTATTCATGCAAATATATCCTTATGTTCTCAATAAAATATTGAGTCTTCATTGAAAGACTTGCTGAAAAGCTGGAATATCAGAAAATAGATCAACTAATTTTGTATACAAAGCAATATAACTGGGCTGGGAAGGTGGCTCAGTGGTGCTTGCCTTGCATGCATGAGACCCTGAGTTCGATTCCTGAGTGCCACATAAGCAGAAAAAGCCGGAAGTGATGCTGTGGCTCCAGTGGTAGATTACTAACCTTCAGCTGAAGAGCTGAGGGACAGTGCTCAGGCCCTGAGTTTCAGGATCCACGACGGATAAAAAACAAACAAACAAAAAACAAAGCAGTATAACCAATAGCCATAAGAATAATTTTCAAGAAACACTATCATCCTCATTATCATCAGCATCATCTTCATCATTGTTTAAGACTATACTATTTATAGTTGTAGAACAGATTACTTTTTACATTTTGGATATTAGAAACACAATGTTTTTTGTCTCTTGAAAGATCATCCATGGATATATATATATATATGTTTTGCCTTCACGTGACATGATGTGATACATACACTTTAAAAATTATTCACTGAACATTCACTGGTCTTTAGAACCCCCTAGAAATAATTTGTGGAATTATACTGTGATAAATTGAGATAGTTAATAGAAATATACTATGGGTAAATAAAGAACTCAAAATCATTGCTCTAGATCCTGGGTTCTGTTTTTCATTCAAATACAGCTTTTGCAAGGCTTGGAGGTTCTGACTTTGCTCTGTCATATTCTTCACCAGGACACCATTGTCTGACATTTGACTCATTATTTATTTATTATTTTACTTTTCTGTGTGTCAGTACTGAGTCTAGAACTCAGGGACTGGGCACTGTCTTTTAGCTTAATCTCTACCACTTACGCTGCAGCTACACTTCTGGTTTTTTGCTGGATAATTGGAGGTAAGAGTTTCAGCATCTTTCCTATACGGGCTGACTTTGTACCTTGAGCCTCAGATGTCAGTCTCCTAAGTAGCTGGGAGTAACTTTTTAGAAGGTGTGATATAAATTTACAACATGAAATTCGTAATTACAGAGTCCAATTTCGACACCGATCTCAAATTATTTTCACCTCCAACACTACTAACTTGGTAGTAACATCCCAAGGAAAAATGTTAACATTCCAAACTTCACTGCTTTGATTCAAATCTCCTCAGTGACAAAAACAATATCTGTATTACAACTGAATGACAATCAGACACCTGATTTTAGATACCTTTTTAATCTGTGGGCTTTAATATTAAGCCATTGTAACTGTTTTGATATCCTTATCATTTTACTTCCCAAAGAACTTGTTTTTATAAGCAAGCTATGTACAATTCATTATTTTAGTTTAAGATTTTAATATGTATAATTTCTTAAACAATGTTATCATATATTCATTTATGATTCTGCTTATAGATACCAATATATATTTATAGCATAACATTATAGATCCCTCTGAAATATTCTTAGAATCAAAACATATTTTTACATTCTTAAATTCAGAAAAACTCATATTCTTTCATTCACTCACTATTTTGGCAATTTTGAGTGTATTCATATGGTTTATTACTTCTAAAGAGTTCAAGTAGAAAGGATAAAGAAGGTTAGTATTTTGAAATTAGAGACACTAAATACTTCTTTTCTTCACTTACAAATTCATATAGAAAGTCATTAAATTTTTATTAGTTTTTTCTCTTTTATCTTTTTAATTAGCTGACAGACACAATCCTATGGTGTTTGACAAAAATAATTACATCCTTTCAACCTCTTGTCTCCTATTAATGGTATTTTAAGTCATTAAATTTTTAAATAAATAAATACTTTTATTTCTAAAATATTTTCATCAGAAGCATGAGACAAATTCCACTTTATTTCATATTGTATATATTCAAAATGTCATAATATGGGTGTTAAAATCAAAACAAATTTCTGTAACCAATTGATAATGAATTAATTAAAACACTGTCTTCATTCTTTAACAAACTTCTTTTCCTATATTGACTATACATTTCTTGAAAGGTTAAAATAAAAATGTATTTTCGTGTATACTTTACACAGATTATTTCATTAATCTTTACACATATCTGACAAGGAGGTGGCTAAAATATAGCAGAAGGGATTTCTTGAAATATATGTAAAATAGATTGTCTAAATTAAAAGCTTTGTATATGAAATATAACTATGAATTGATCCAACATTCCCTTTTTTAACAATTAAAGTACCTCAGACAATTGTGGAATATACATAAGCCTACTATGATCAAAAGGAATCCAATGGTTGTCAATGACAACATTAAAAAGCAACACAAGGTTACCAGTTAAAGCATTAGAAAAAACTTGCTGAACTAGAAACATAAATTTCACATGTCATGTATTTTAAACTACATTGCTATATAGAAGTGATATGAATACACTAAATATTATGAAGGATTGAGGATAGTTTATAATGCAACTTTGGAAGTTTTGAAGTTGGGTTTTTTCAGGTATTTCCAATATAGGTAATACTAAAAGAATTTCAAAGGTTTCTGCTTGGGAAATGCACAAATTCATGTGTACTACACACCATTTCAAAGTGTTTTTGTAGCTTTGTTTTAGAAGATATAGAATAAACACACAATATGGGAACCATGAATAAGATTTTCTTTAGCTTCTCACATGTCCTTAGTAATAGGGTAATTAGCATCCTTTACAGATGTGAGGTAGTTATCCAGGAAGTTGTACCTTTACTTTGTGAGACTCATTACACCACTCCAATATTTAAGAAGATGGTTTCCCACAAGCACACATTTCTATGACATGCTTAATAGAATATTTTCCAGAAATAAAAATAGATCAACTGCATTTATATATATAACTTATTTTCTTTACAATTATATACATATATGCATACACACATATACATATATAACAAAAAATCCCAGGATCTTGGTGTCTAAATGAAGAAAATATTGATGAGAATTATGAGGTTAGCAAGATAGCCTACATACCCAAAGTCCAATTTTAATGAATTTATATTCTTATTGAACAATGAAGTCCCATAAAAAATTAATCTATTTCTATTTTTTACAACACATTAAGTTTGGATGCTTCTTTATAAGGCTGAGTTAGCTGGTGGGTTGTTATTTAGACTAACATTTTCATAATTGGAGTAAAGTCTGAAATGAAAAGTTTGAAATATTTCTCCTCAAACTATTACTTATTCTATCCAAAATTTCATTAATGAAATTATTTAAATGCAAAATTACCATGGTTAAAGTCATCTTATGATAGAAAATAATGAGTGTATATACACATCTATGTATGTATGAAAAATATATACATGTATGTATGTGTATGTATACATTATATGTGTATATATGAAGAAAAATTTGGGTTTTAAAGGAATAGTGGCTTTTAATAATTTAAAATTAAAAATGCAGATTGTTGTATTGCTAAATTGTTGAGGTTTTCTTTAAAACAGGTTTTCCTTGAAGTATAGGAAAAGCATTTTTTAATTTTATCTTGAAATAGAGGAAAAATAAAGAACTGTCAACTTCATAGCTATGCATAGAACTACACTTTTTCTTAAATCAGATTTCAAAACCATTCTGCTATAAACCATTATATTCTATCCAAATTATTTAGTTTGAAACAATTAAAAGTATTTATTTCTGTATGTCAAAGCTGTGGGCCCATCTGTTTGCGAAGTTCTTGTGGAATCAGCATTTGCACGCACTTTGGGGCTCATCCTTTCAGTCCTTTTCCTTACTGGTCACTAGAGTTCCATTTAGTAAATTATTGACAAACTTCTATGATTACTCTGGAGGGCTCAGCATTTATAATCGAAACTTATTATTAAGTATTAAACCTGTCCCTAAGGAAATTTTTCATTGGCAACTTCATCAGCATATAACCACTATCATTTTAACCTTTATGGAAATTTCAAATCTCCAAATACAGATGTAACAGTTGGCATCAAGTTTTTAAGATCAGCATTCATATTATCAGGGTTGTATAATCCAACCTCTTAGATTGGGAGGAAATGGGCAGATTTCTAAGTTATCCACATTTTCATTGCTACATATACATATGAAATACCTCTATAAGCCTATATATAGTTTCTCATACCCAACTTTGCCAAATAACACATTGTTTTCTAGATAAACATTAACATAAATAATAGAAGAGGTATCTTCTGAATAAAAATGCTACAGATAATTTAGGTAAAATATATTCACAGATCTTACAGTTGTAATATGAAACAAAATGAAAAAAACTTTTCATTCAGGAAAAAAATTCAGAAAGTTGAGGCCTAGTTTATATGAGGAATGATACATTCATAGATTGTTGCGTTTGGTTAAAATTATACATCTGGAACAGGTACAGAAGATGATAGTAAATGAACAAGCTTCCTTGCAATACTTTGTTAATGAGGCTGAACCACTATTTGAGTGCCAATCTCTGCCAGCTGCATTTTTACTTGCTGTATCTTGTTGAGGCTAGTTTTAATGGTGCTTTAGGGGGTTCCAGAACTAACTTTTATATGTTAATGTGTCATGCAGCTGTATATGTTACAGAGCCCCAGAGATGTCCATACTCAAAATTAACTTCTTTCTATTGCCCTCCTGGCTCTCACCCTAGGTAATAAAATGTTAACCGCTCCTCACCAAGGTATTCTCAAATCATTTCTAGATGAGACCGAATATTTTATTTCCATTTTCATTTGAGGAATCTGCATGTGAGGCTTTCTTAATGATTTAATGATAAAGGCTATTGGAATATACCACTTTGAAAAGTTATGCATTTATTGAGAAAGTTAGCAGTTGAAATTGGTGGATTGAACATTTGTTATCTATTGCAAAGAATGCATCTACCTGTTAGGTTTCTTTAGAATTCCTGCATAAACCCTTCTGTCAGTATCATTTAAACTGCATTTAGAACATTGTTAAAAAGAAATACCAGTGATTTTTCTTTCTTTAGGCACATACATTAAAGTTCGACAGAACTGAAGCACATCTATTAAACACAGAAAGAATATGTTATCTAAGAAAATTATGAACATTTTGTTAAAATATCTGGATGCATACTTAAACAAACCAAATAAAATACTGGCCTAATTTTGTGCGTTTATTTTTCTCCTCTGCCTTTCAGGAAAGGAGTACATCAGGTGTTAAAAGTTCTTGAATGTTAAATGCATCTAAGTGTTAGGAACAAAATTTCAAAAGCCACCACATCTCATTTTGAGTATTTCTCCCCCTGAGAACATTGTATGTGTTCAGTATGTTTATTTCGAGTTCCTTCAAAAATTTACTGAAGGTGCTTTATCAATTGCCAGTTCTTTAACATGATAAAGCTTACTGTCCTTTTTATTCAAACTTGGCATTAAAATGGACTTTAGTGGTTATCACTGTTATCTATTAATTATACATTAAGAAATCACATAGAGCAAAATACATTTTGTTTTGGTACCAAAATACAGGCTTTATTAAATGTCCCAGAATATGTAACCATAAACAGTCTGTTGGTAAATGCCTATGAATAGTTCACTTACATGGTTATTTTCAAACTAATTGTATTGACTGCCAGCTTTGTTAGTCTTCCACTTTGGCTGTATTTTCCTACTGTGATAATAAATGGAAATTTTATGTTTAATGAATTTAGTTTAGTAGTATTATAGTAATATCTTACAGAAAGTAAATTCTCTTCATTAGGGTTAAACAAAAATTTAAACATTTGTCATTGTTGCCAGTTGTTTAGTGTTAGCAAGGTTAATCACATACCACATCAACTGTGTCAGTATTCATCAGCATAGGCATTTGCCAGACAACTGTGATTGTGTGGATAAACTCAAAATTTCATTCACTCATTCATTAATTCATTCATCAATGTAATAAATATGTAAATGCCATCTCATTCAATGCCAGAATTTGTTTGTAAATACTACCTTTTGCCATTTAAGAAGTTGGTAATAGTAGGGGAATTTACAAACCTGTTCAAATAAGTGTGTTGAACTATAAATGGAAAACCACCACAGCATTAGAGGAACAGAGAAAATTTCTATACTGGGGAAAGTTTCCAGAAGTTGGGAATCAGGGATAAAAGTGATGGCAATAATTGAATAAGACTTCAATAATTGTACATCATTAAAAACAATATCTTTGCAAAAGGGAAGTATAGTAGTCAGATATATGGAAACATGGAGAGATTTCTCATAGATTTTTATGAAATGTTCTATATATAAAGATGAAGAGTAGAGGATAATGTAGGGAATGTGTGTTGGAGTTACGTTGAAGAATTTTTACCTAATATTTTATTGTTGGTTTTATCATCAAAAGATAATTCAACAGGAGAATATCTTATATACAGTATCTTGGTTGTTGGATGTATAATATATTAGGAAAGAAGTAATACTAGTGCAGGTATTCTGAAGACAAAGCAAAGGAGATAAAAATTAATGAGGAAGAGGTAGAGCCAATGAAAAATAAAAATGCTTGATATTTCAAAACTAAAATTTTGTGAAGGGCACAAAAACAATGTGTAGATATTCAGGAAGAGACCACCTTGGTATTAACTACAAGAAGAGAGAAGGGATAACATGGTTGAAGAGAGAAATATTGCAAATTAATTTTACAGACCTATAAAGTTCAGGTATCAATGGAATAAGTCTATCAGAAAGAAGAATATAATTCCCAAAATAAATTTAAAGAGAGGATTGGAAGTATTCAATGAATGGGTAGAAAATAATAGATTCAGAGGAGCGAACTATACAAGTTTAGGAAAATGTCCAAACATATTGAAGAGAGGAACAAAGCATAAGAAAAGCAATTAAAGCTATTAGTTCATCAAGAATAGTTACAAAGTAAAATGAAGTCACCAGGTTAAAGGTTAAGTTGTCACTTATGAACCTTAGAAGGGCAAGGTTTGTCACTAATGACAACAGTTTACAAGAACTTGAAAATTACTGGTTATTGAAAACAACAGAGACAAAAATTTGGGAACCGAAGATGAAGTGGTGGTAGCGATTGTGGTAAGTTTTATAGTACTCTGAGTGTCTGTAGATAGAAAATATGAGTTGGAGCAACTAACGACTCCAAAACAACAAAGGAGAGAGGAAAATATTGAAACATTTCAGAAGGATGATGAAGGAAAGGGTTCATTGGATGAAACGCATTCGTCAGGCAATTCATTCTCAAAAGGGAAAGCAACAGAAAAACAAAATCTGATGTGGTTAATACAGTGCACGCTGTATTAACAAATACATTTACATATAAATGTATTTGTAAAGTTTTCTTTTAACCAAAATTTGGGCAAGCTTATTTGCTGAAAGTGAGGAATACAAACTTGGAATATAAGTTTTATTCCTAAGTTGGTATTTCTTATGACTACTGTGGACATTAGTTCAGTAATTTTATTTGTATTTCCCACTTCTGGGCTTAATGTGATTGACTCGTCCCTGTCAGATGTGACTAATTATAGTTTATTTGTTCCAGGCGGTGTGGTTACAGCAAAGCAAAGCAAGACCCAGAAGAGGAGAAGATGCATTTCCATAATGGGCACAGTAAGCAAATTGCACACAAATAGAAAAGAGGACATTTTATTTTTATTTCTTTTCATAGGTAAAAGACTTACAAGTTTAAAATAAGTCGACATGATAATGATGACGGGCTACTGATGGCTTATTCAATTACTTAAAGAATATTTTCATTATTATCATCAAAAGTGTTTTATCTAACTTAAAATGCTACTTTATTTCAAATCAAATACCAAAACTCATTATAATCACTAACAGCAGAGTGAATAGCAATCTATCACTAAATATAAACATCAGGTTCAAGGATTAAAATTACTCAGTTTCTTCTTTAAGTGTATAAGCAAAAATTTGCCTAAAAATAAAAATCTTGTGGTACAAACTTGGTTCAAATGAGTTGAAATAGGCGACATTTTTAAGAAACTGACAAGATACACTTTTGGCAGTGAACTTAAAACCTAGCTTAAATAAGGCTTAGCTATAGTTTTCAGTGTATTTGTTTTTCCATAAAGAAAATAATGTTAATTTATTTGCCAAATAAATTTAAATGGGTATCTTTTGTTTTGATCACAACTGAAAAATATTGAGTCTCTTTTACAATTCTCTCTTACTTAATATTATTTATGTTCATTACTTTTGAGATAATAGTAAGTAACCTTCAAGGCAGTACACTGAGACTTGGAGAACACAAAAGTCTTCCGTCATACAATCACAAGGGCAGAGAAAAATAGACAATTTCTATTTGTGTACCAGCCTATTGCACCGATACTATCAAAACCTTATTTTAAATGTTTCTGAGAAATCAAAATTAAGAATATTTGACTCTAAAAAGTTAATAAAGAGTAATAAGCAAATAAACTAGTAACATTCCATTGTCCAGTTAAGTTTTATAAAAAGTGCTTAATTTGCATCAGAGATCTAGTCTCTAAATACTGTGATTGAGGAATGTTATTAAATATAAATTTCCTATGAGTGACAATATCTATATTTATTTGAACTATAAATGTAATACATCTGTCCTTGTATAATTGTCATTACTCAGTAGAGAGCCTTTCCTTGCTGCATTTAAACTATACTAACCAGTTAATAAATTTTATACTTTTCTTCAACCATTAACATTTCAATATGAATGCCACCTATTTTTTACAGTTAAACTGCCAGGCGTGAGGACCTACATTGACCCACACACCTATGAAGATCCCAGTCAAGCTGTCCATGAGTTTGCCAAAGAGATAGAAGCCTCGTGCATCACTATCGAAAGAGTGATTGGAGCAGGTACACCAACCTATTTATGAGTTTTATGACTTTTACCTTTTGTTTCTATTGGGAAATGTAATATATCAGTGTCTTGCAGTAACACCAAAGGCTTTTGATCTTTTGTAATTGTCTTGCTTTCAAAGTGGCGTGCAACAAATCACATTGCAAGGCATCATTCTGCTTAACAAATGTCTGGTTTATTACAGAAGCACTGCAGCCAAAATATTTCTATTGTTATTGTTTTACACATACATATATGTAATTCATATAACTTAAAAGTGCTTACATAATTCAACTGATTTCTGCCTTGAAATTGCTTCCTGATCTTTTCCTTTTTCTTTAACAAAAAGGGAGAAATACATGATTTTTAATGTTTTTATTTCTTTCAGATGTTCCCATTTAGATTTCTTTTTTATTTTATTTTATTAATAAGTTTTTTATTGTGAAAATACCATATAGAGAGGTTACAATTACATGAGCAAGGTAATGAGTACATTTCTTATCAAGCATTGTTGCCTCTTCCTTTGTTTCCCCTCACAATCCCTGCCCTCCCATCTGCCCATTTAGGTTTCTGTAGGTGAGGTAGATGAGATTAGTTAAATGTCCAAAGAGCTCAAAGCTTCTAACACAGTTAATGATGTTTGTCCTACTTTTTTATAAATTTTAATAATTTTTATAAATTTAATTCTTGAACACTTCAAGAATTAGAATTCTAAATGCCTTTGCTAGAATAAAAATTCTAAAAGAGTTTGCGTATTTTCTCTATCTTTATCACAAGGTGAATTTGGTGAAGTTTGTAGTGGACGTCTGAAATTACCAGGAAAAAGAGAATTACCTGTGGCGATTAAAACCCTAAAAGTAGGCTATACTGAAAAGCAACGCAGAGATTTCCTAGGTGAAGCAAGTATCATGGGTCAGTTTGATCATCCTAACATCATCCATCTCGAAGGTGTTGTGACCAAAAGTAAGTACAGTGATACAGTATACTGGGCAGGGGAGAGGGAGAGTTTCTGTCTAAATTATATTTACTTAGGCAACCAAGAACTTGATCAAATCAATATATTTAATTTATATTTACACTATACTTTAGCAGATCATTTTTTAATCTAGTTTTCAATGAATTGGTTTTCAGTTGCCCCTACAAATATGTATGTTTGCAGTTATCATGGGTTCAGTGTCCAAAAGTACATTTCAAAGAAGCTAGTTTGTTTTACTTTAGGTTTTGTAACCTTTTATAGTAAGGTAACATTAACTCCAAAGGTCAGCCTTAGTTATGGAGAAAGATCCCACCTGAAAAGAAGGAAACAAGGAGGGAAGAGAGGAAAAGAGAGAAAAAGAGAGAGAGAAGAGAGAGAGAGAGAGAGAGAGAGAGAGAGAGAGAGAGAGAGAGAGAGAGAGAGAGAGAGAGAGAGAGAGAGAGGAGGGAGGGAGAAATAAGGAGGGAGGGAGGGAGGGAGGAAGAAATTGACACATGTATAGTGGCTTCTTATATTAATCCTAGTAATTTTTTCCGTGTTTTGTATACATTTTGTATACATCTGTTTCTAGAAGCTGATGTCACTATCAGGAATAGATCAAATGTAAATTCTGTGAATTCTAGTCTATAAAATGGTACTGTGTTTGGGAAGATGGTTTTGATTTCCAACCCTCCAAATATGCTGCCTGAGGTCTCTCTGCCCCACAAGGCTACAGACAGAGGCAACACAGATAGAAATGCTCACTGTGTGTATTTTTAAGTTTCTGTGCCCAGACACTATATTTCCTCCTTTCAGATGTAGCTCTTGAGGCTCAACTTAGGAAGTCTTCAACTTGTTTTTAATTTACCATGTTGCAACTCACTTTATTTGTGTCCCTAATTTCATGCTCTCTGATCTGATGCTAATGTATTCACCAATTATTCTCAACCTGCAGCACACAGATAATGAGACATAAGTGCAACTAAATCTTGTGAATCTTCTGATTGAAGCTGAGGCAGGGATCCCGGAGTAGCCGCGATGGATGGGTGGTTTCACTGAAATCTTCATCTTTTCCTTGTGTCTTGCCTACATGAGTGAAGTATGGGTCCCCATATAAATTTTCTCCTGTAATTTATTGTGAAAAAGAACACATCATAAATATGCATAGATATATAGATATCTATGCATATTCCAAAGAAATTTCATAACAAATGACATAAAAATCCCACAGGTAGTAGCTTAATTAACTCGTTTGCAATGCAAGACACTTTGGTGTAATATACACAGTGCCGGTTTTGTGGGTTTTTTTTATTTTTTTTACTATATAATGAGATTCTGGGGAAAAATAGCAAAAGAAAAAAATGTTATAATTTTCCCATTTGCATCATGCTTAGCTTTTTTTTTTTTTTGGAAAATGACTCAAATCGACTAAAGGAATATTTCTGTCAAGGTTTGAAATTAGTCATACTTTTACTTGTTAATCTACAAGGCATACAAACAAGCTTTCCTTTATTATATAATTATTACATCTAAACAGGGTATTACAGGAACCTTAGAAGGATTGCCTTTTCATTTAGTTTCTGTGGTATATTCATTGAGTTTCCAACAGGTTTTATTACATAGATTCATAACTACCTTTCAAACACACCTACACCCACATACATATACATACACACATATTCACATAGACACCTCCATAATTATATATTAACTAGAGCTATTCCAGATCAGTATTTTCCAAGACAATCACTTTATTTGCACATGTTTTTCAGCCTAGTTTACACTCATTACCCTTAGATTTTATTACATAGCTATTTTGTATAATATAAAATAAGCACACAGATTACACAAAATGCATATACTTCAATGTTTCATTGGTTACCATGTGGTCACATACCCATTTTCTTTTTAAAGTAGAATATATTAATTATTCAAAGTGGTTTCATTGTTTGTATAATATTCTATGATAATGTTATCCCCCTCTATTTCTCTTTCTGATTTCCTGTACCATTTCTAAACAATTTTGTGTTTGATTAGTTTAACATTTGCATATAAAGTATACACATATGATATTAGATATTATTCACACCATATAACGTTTTAACTCCCATCTGCTGCTTTATTTCTTGAGTTTCGTTTTACATTTACACAATTCCTCTCCAGGTAACTCTCCTAGCTCTGTTTTTGTTCCATTGAGACACTTCCTTTGTCCTAGAATGCCCTCTTCACTTTCATTTCTTTAGGTTTTCTTTATTTTTGCCAGTCCTGAGTCTTGAACTCAGAGCCTGGGCATTCTACCTAAGCTTCTTTTTGCTCAAGGCTAGCTATCACTCTACCACTTGAGCCACAGCACCATTTTCGGCTTTTTCTGTTTATATGGTACTGAGAAATCAAACCCAGGGCTTTATGCATGCTAGGCAAGCACTCTACCACTAAGCCACAGTCCCAGCCCTTCACTTTCTACTTGAACATCAAGTTTAATTCACATGTGACCTTCTCCATAAACTCAATGTCATTTTCATTTATTTATTTATTTAGACTCCTTTTTTTTTTTTTTTGGTCCATAGTGGATCTTGAACTCTGGGCCTGGGTTCTGTCCCTAAGCCTCTTTTTGCTCAAGGCTAGCACTCTACAACTTGAACCACAGGACCACTTCCAGCTCTTTCTGATTAGTGTATTGGAGATAAGAGATTCAGGAACTTTCCAGTCTGGGATGGCTTTGCATCTGGATACTCAGATCTCAGCCCCCTGACTAGGTAGGAGGTGTGAGCCATCTATGCCTGGCAATTTTTGCCTTTAAGCCTGAATGTCTGCATGGCAGAATGGGCACAGCAGAATTCTGAATACTGATATGAAGAGAAAGGACTCCCAATTTGCCACCAGAATACAAGCCTTAGTATGCAAGTGTTCAAGGCCTATGTTTGTTTAATGAATGTGAAGGCTGCCCACCAATAGTGAGAGCTGGGGATTGTTCTGAGTTCATTGAGGGCTAGTACATAACTTCAGTGCTTTCTGCTCAGTTGATTTGGGTGCGTGTGTGTGCTGGGATTAAATTGGGAGCCATGTTTGAATTTGAGAAAGTAAGTGAGAGTAAGGTAAGGGTTAGAAGATGACGAACAAGTATGGTTGGTGTCATGAATTGGATATGAAATGCGCTCCCCCCATCTTCCCCTCCCCCAGGCTTAGGTGCTTCATTTTCTCAATTTCAGATTCCAGGATCAGTTGGCAGCCTATGTAGAACTTTTATAACTCTGCTGAAAGAATGTGTTCTGAATACAGTGCCTCCTTAGAAAAGTGAGGAATATGTTTCTGCCCTTTGTCATGTTGTGTATTTTATCTGCACATTTTACTTTCCTTACTAACCATAAGCTCTTTGAAATTGCAATAGGTTTGTAGTCTGTTATGTGTATTGTAGGGAAAGACACGCTAGGTAATATAAAGAAAAGAAATAAATGAAATTAATGAGTGAATACATTAGAGTTACATGAATATTCTGAAGATAAGGCATGTATATTAGTGATATAGTGATATGGCATGCATATTAGTTTTAAAGCTACAAATTCTATCATGTACTCTCAAGAAGAAAAATTGAGAGTTACTGGTAAGAAATTCCTTGCAAGTCTTTTCACAAGATCCTGCATATATTAATGTAGTTATTGCTAAAACCATTAGCATTGTTTTAGGACTTTACTAAGCAGGATGCTGTTGCTTTTAATGTATAATCTCCTTTAATTCTTGCAATAATTCTACTTGATAAACCAATTTTAAATGTTGTTTTACCTGAGAGCTCATGCCCTTATAGAGTGACTGAAAAACATTTGAGTGACTGAAAAACAAACAATGAGCAAATATACTAAATATTTTAAGTTGAGAAAAGCAAGCTAGGTGAGAAACTAGAGAGACTAGAGATTGCTTCTGTTGAACATTATGGTTTTTATTTTATTTAGAATAAAATGAAACTATGGAACTCATAGATATCTATATGCAAAATACTATAGGGAATGGAAACAGACAACTGCATGAAATTTTCAAATTGATGTTATTGTTGTTTTTATTTCCAGTTCTAGGGCTTGAACTCAAGGCTTGGACACTGTCCCTGAGGCTTATTGTTCTCAAAGCTAGCACTCTACCACTTGAGCCACAGCACCACTTCTAGATTTTTTTTGAGTAGTTTATTGGAGATAAGTGTCTCACTGACTTTCCTTCCTGGGGTTGGCTTGGAACTGTCATCCTCAGATCTCAGCCTCCTGATTAGCTAAGATTATAGGTGTGAGCCACCAAGGCTCAGATTCTAGATAACTTTCTAAGGTTGAAACAACTTAATTTTAAGGTTGTTTTGTTTTCTTCTCTTGATGAGGGTTGTCTATTCCTGTTATAAGCACACAATCCTACTTTCTTGTTAGCTATTAGTAATTGAGTCTTAATGATTGTGTTATTGTGTTTCTCTTGGGGTTGAAATAAAAGTAATTTCAAACAGCTCCAAGTGTTAATATGCCAAATGGAATGTAACCCAATGAAAATGGCCTAATGAGATAAAACTGTACATGTATAGGCAGAAGCTTGTCTTTAATCATTTACAATTCATAAGGTGTTTTTAAGGGAAATTCAGTGATGCCTACTTTTCTAGTGAATTATGATGTCCTAAATGAAATGGTCCCTCATAGCCCTAAGTAGTATTACATGTTTGCTATGAGTTCAACTAATGGTTTCAGTAAAGCAGACAGTATAAATGCAAATAAAATAAGTCCAGATTTAACTGCAAATCTTGTGATGTGAGGTTGCCTTATGTAATGTTTCTCAAAATTGAATGTGCCTCTAGTGTTATTGTTAAATTGCAAAAGTCTGTTACAATTGATCCCTTTTGGGACATACATTTTACAATTTTAACAAGCTCACAGGTCATGTTTCTACTGCTTGGCAAGACCTATGAGAAGCAAGAATTAGATTCATGTTATTCCAAATCAGTTTCATCTACTACTATGAAACACACTTGCTTCACCATGAGGGC